ATCTCATTATTACATGACCTAATTTATGTATGCTTTTAGTTATTGATCTCTTACTTACTCTCCATCCTATGGTATTATTCCCTACTTATATACTTACTCTCTGCTATGATCGGTTTCTTAAGTTGCTCTATTTATATATTAATATTATTCAATATATTATTTATTACTGATATTGACCATATATCAGGTTCGTTATTATATTTATTATTAATTAATAAGTTTATTTATTTTTTAAAAATTCTTTGATTTCAAATCTGTGTTCTTCTTAGATTAAATGTTATGGGATTTATTGTGTCAACGAGTCCTCATCATCTCTAGATGTGGCCAGTCGACAAATGACAGTTATGTAGGTTTGTATGAGGATATCTCTATTCTTCATGTCTTCTTTACGTTCTCCTCCTCCTCCTCTTTCTCTTTCCTACCTCCTCCCTTACTCAACTCATCATCAACCAGGAACACGACGCAGACCAACCATCGCGATGTCTTCAAATCATCATTCCGAATTCCATCATCATCGAATGGCATCACACCATTCGTCTACATCTACCATCACCCATGGATATCATCCACGTAACTGCAGACGCATCACTCACCACCCATTTATTTAATTCTCTCCGACGTTCTTACTCTTCTCACGCATTTAGAACCCAACCTGCATATCGTCACCTTCTTTATGTGCTCCCAAAAGAACAACAAGAACAAAAGAGCATCAAAAAGAACAACGGAACAGGGCTACAAGTAAACAGCAAGAAACAAAAGAACAAGAAAAGGAACAAGAGGAAGTAGGTGGCTACAAGTAAACAACAAGAACAAAAATAAAGAAACAAGGAAACAGGTGCCTACAATAAACCAGCAAGAACAAAGAACAAGAAAGAGCAACAAGGAAATAGGTGCTACAAGTAATACAACCAAGAACAAAAGAACAAGAAGGAGAACAAAGAGAACAGTGCTAACAAGTACACACAGCGAAGAAACAAAAAGACCCACAAAGAAAAGGACACAAAAGGAGAGGTGCCTCACAAGTAAACAACACGAACAAAAAGAACCAAGACAAAAAGAACAACAAGAACAGCGCGGAACATCAAGGGTGCTACCAGAGTAAGACAACACCGACACAAAAGAAACATAAGAACAAAAGAAAACAAGAAGCAAAGAATAGGTGCTACAAGTAATCCAATCCAGACCAAGTTATAAAAAGAAACAAGGAACAAGCAACCAGGTGCTACAGTAACAGCACAGACCCACAAAAGAACAGAAAAGGAACAAAAGAATAGCCGGTGCTACAAAGTAAACAACAAGAACAAAGAAAACAAGGAACAGTGCTACAAGTAAACACAAGAACAAAAAGAACAAAGAACAGGAAAACAAAGAACAGGTGCTACAAGTATAAACAAAAAAGAACAAGGAAGAACAAGAGGAACCGGGTGCTAAAGTAAACAAACAACAAAAGAGACAAACAAAAAGACCAAGTACACGGTGCTACAAGTAAACAACAAGACAAAAGAACACAGAACGAGAAACAAGGAATAGGTGCTATACTTACACCCATTCAAACCTTAATATAAATGGGTTTCACGTTCACCTCTAACCATCAGTATGCTTCAAGTGACGCCTGCACAACGCTCATGGACAGAATTCTAACTCCGGGAACTAACAGGCACTCTAACGCACACATGCAAATAGCATATGAATTCATGCATGAGCTTTAAACGAACATTTGAACACACATTTCATTAAAAGCTTTGTTTTAATCACAAACTCATGCCCTTTTATTTAAAAATGCACTATGATAAATGCTTTTTTTTTTTTTTTTTTTTTTTTTTTTTTTTTTTTTACGGCTGCCTTTGAGCTCTGTGTTGTGCTTATTATATTCTACATCACCATTTTAATTATTAATATCAATGAAAATTGCTTAATCCCCATCATAGTAACCTTCATTGACATCATAAATATCAATATTGTTATTATTAACTAATTTTTCCTTTTACCTCTTCTACTTTCAGCAGTTATTTGATCAGTTCGATATCAATTAGTTATGATAAAAAATGATGACAAAAATAACTTTTATCATCAACTGCGCCATTGCCATCGTATTAATCATACAGATATTTATTAAAACTATTATGATTATCATTGTTCCTATTAATATTAGCATCAATATAAAAGCCACCCCTCTCATATAAAATCTTCTCTCGCTCTCTCTCTCTCTCTCTCTCTCTCTCTCTCTCTCTCTCTCTCTCTCTCTCTCAATTCTCTCTCTCCTCTCTCTCCTCTCTCTCTCATCTCTCTCTCTCTCTCTTCCTCTCTCTCTCTCTCTCCTCTCTCTCCTCTCTCTCTCTCTCTCTCTCTCTCTCTCTCACACACAAACACACACACACACACACACAACACCACACACACACAACAACACAACACACAACACAACACACACACACACACACACACACACACACACACACACACACACAGGGATCTATATTCACACACATTTGCAACCTGTGTGTAAAAAAAAAATCAATACATAGATCCACATCTATTTATGTTCCTTTTGTTTTTAACATGATTTTCCTTACATTCCGCCAATTTCAATAATTCATTTCTATTTTGAAAATAAGGAAATAAAAAAAAAAGAAGAAAAGGCGTCCCTCCTCACCCAAACATTAATATCTACTTTCACGTTTATCAAACACCTTATTAAAAAATTTTAAAAAGAAAGAAAGAAAGAAAAAAAAAACGCATATTTAGGAGCAATTGCATTAGAGGAACTTATCACACGAACTGTCCTTCGCAGAGTTCAATTACAGCTCGTTTCTTCTCTCCGGTCACTTACCCTAAAAAGAGGTTTCACAGGTTTTGACATTTTACTCCAGTTTACCGTTTCTCTGGCAGGAATTCGCCTAATGGTCCTTCTAGGGTCAAACGTGTTTACTGTTAAGAGAAGTGAACTGTCTTGGAAGAATAGTTTTAAGACCTTGCCGGACTTTCACTTTACTTTTATATGCACTTATTGATCAGTGTTGGCCACACAGGAAGATTCCCCCACGTACAGATGTGAGATGTGGTGTGTTGGGGTGTGGCGTGTGTTTGGTTCAAAGGGAAAGTGACAGTGTTGACCAGAATTCTTGATTGCTTCCTTGTTGTTTTCTGAATGTTGGGTATGTTTTTGTCTTGTCTTTTTTTTTTTCTCGCTCATCCCTTTTGTCTCTCTCTCTCCTCCCCCCTTCTTCTTTCTCCTTCTCTCATCTCATCTCTCTCTCTCTCTCTCTCTCTCTCTCTCTCTCTCTCTTCTCTTCTTCTCTCTCTCTCCTCTCTCTGCTCTCCTCTCTTCCTCCTCTTATCCCCTCCCTCCCTCCCTCCCCCCTTTCTCTCTCTCTCTTCCTCTCTCTTCTCTCTCCGTCTCTCTCTCTTCTCCTCTCTCTCTCTCTCTCTCTCTCTCCTCTCTCTTCTCTCTCTCTCTCTCTCTCTCTCTCTCTCTATCTCTCTCTAATCTATCTATCTATCTTCTATCTCTATCTCTCTCTCTCTCTCTCTCTCCTCTCCCTCTTTCCTACCCCCTCTCTCTCCCTCTCCACTCTCTCTGTCTACCCACACATCTATCACCCCCTTTCTTACTTTCTCTCATCCCCCAAATAATCATCAGACGCCTCATTAGAAGAGCCCGACACCCAGATCCCACCCGACCGCCCGACACCCGACTGCCCGACGCCCGACCGCCCGGCCCGAGGCGACACTCACCGCCCGTGCGTTCAGGAAGTTGCCGGGTTTGTGGCCCTTGAGTACCGTTCTCTGATTATGCGAATCTATACCAGTTTCTGGACCGGCCACGTCGGGCTCTACTCCTTGCAGGGGGCGCTCGTTGCGATGCCTTGTGGCGGACGGCGTGAGGTTGATTGGCTCAGAGGGTTTCCGAGGGGGTGGGGAGGTAGGTTTACCTGGGAGACGTGCAGGATGGGTTGGCAGGGCGTGCGAGTAGATTCGTTATATTTTCATCTTCCTTGGTTTTTCACTCTTACTTATTTCTCTCTTTCTGGTCTCTTCTCATCTCTTCTCTCTTCTCTCTCGTATATCTATCTATCTATCCCTGTGTTCTGTATGAATGTAGTATGCATCTATATACATACAGATATGTGTATGGTGTTGTCTGTATGACACACACACAACACACACATATGTTGTGTGTGTGTGTGTTTGTCCTCATCTCCTTTGGACACCTCTTAAACAGGACGTCGCCCTACCATCTCACCCCCTCCCTCCGCCCCCCAGAGCGGCTGCTGACGTGCGTCTGCAACACGAAGGAGTGTCAGCACGAAGGCACCGCCACCTGCCGCACGAAGGCCCACTGCTACTCTCAGCGGTGGGATCAGCGTGATGATTCGCAGCCCATCGTCAGAGGCTGCATGGCTGCTGGGTATGTTGGCTTGATCTGTAAGCTGTATTCTGTTGGGTATGTTATTTTAGAATCTACAAGCTATGTTCTGTTGATGTATGTTGTTTTATGACTTATTGTCTCTGTTCTGCTAGGTATTTGTATATCAATATCTGTCTTCTGAGGGGTATGCTATTTTTTTTTTTTTTTTTTTTAATCTTCAATCTGTTTTTACTGTTATTTTTATTCTCCATTCTGTGTTTTGCTAGGTTTATTATTTTGATCTCTGACTTCTGTCCTGCTGTGCTTGTTATTTTAATCTCTAAGATATGTTTTCCTTGTTGTGTTCTTTTAATTTCTAAACTGTGTTCTACTGGGTATGTTACTTTGATCTCTAAAGCTGTCCATGCCAAGTTCTGTTTTCTGAGGGGTATATTATTATTTTTATCTCTAATCTGTGTTCTGTTCATGCTTTTATTACATTGATTTATCGTTACTTATCTGATATACCGTATTATTCCTGAAATTTTATGTTATCATTTATAAATTACTTCGTACTTGAAATATAGTTATAGATTTTTGTTAGTCTACCACCTGCAAAATGACCAACAACGCAATTTATTTTAGGTATGTC